GTTCAATAAAATGTTTAAATCCCATTTACATCTTCAATTATTCCGTGTATCTGTGTAATAATTCTTCATGATCATAAATACACACTTCATCGGGTTATCTCAAAGAGACCATATGTAATAATTACTTGATTACGAACGATCAAATAAGAAAAAGACTTCTGTTTAACTGAGGTTCTCTTTTCGATTTTCAGAATACGAATGGACCGAGGCCGACGTACGTGGGTGCCAACAACGGTAACGCCGGCGGCGCCGGCGGAGGCGGCAGCGGTAGCGGCAGCGGCGGCGGAGGTGGCGGCGGCGCCGCTAATGCAGGCGGCGTCGGCGTGGGACCCGCGGCCGGCGCGGGTGGTGGCGGTGGTGGCGGCGGCGGTGGCGGTGGCGGTGGCCACGGACTGAAGGGCAACACGGGTGGTGGACCGCGCGGCGGCAATCCGGTGCAGTATCGTGCGAGTGGCGGCGGAGGCGGCGGTGGAGGCGGTGCGGCCGCCTGGAGCACGGCACCGTCTCACGCGGCTGCGGCCGCAGCAGCGGCAGCAGCGGCCGCGTACCCGCCTTACACGCGCTACCCGAGCGCGGCGGCCGCAGCGGTGGCTGCCGCGGCCGGTGGCGGTCCTCAGCAGCTACCGGCATCCGCGAATCCCTTCGTCACCGCCACGTACGCGCAGCACGCGACGGTAAGTCGCATTCGCCAACATATTTTCTTACTTCCAATCGCGGTAGAGCCTGTCAACTTTGTTCCGCGTGACGGTAAACATGAGACCGTCGCGCGGCATGCGACCGTGAGAGCCGTGAACGAGAAGATAGGTCACTTTGATAAGCGTTTAATGGCTCTACGTACGGTATTTACAAACAAGGACCGAGGAAGCAAATATAAATCGTTTGCAAATATACGTAACATTTTCGGCACTGTTCTTTTAATGAGAAGTTAATACTTTTATTTTCAATATATAGAATTATCACTCGTTCTTAACTCTACATTACTCGCGTGAGATGGCGAAGTGGGGTGTATGTTACATCCCAAACGTTACATCTTTTTTTTTTATTGTTCTCTTTGATTTACAATTAAATAAAGGTTGAAAATATTCTCTATATCTTCTAAATAAAGATAAGTGCAAAAGTTCTTCTTTAATTGCGAAACAATTCGCGCAGCATTCAATCGATAAAAAACTTTGTCTGTAGTTTTCTAAGGCTAGGGTTTATTTTACACCCCACGCAAGTAACGTGGAGTCAAAGAGAATTGTTGAAAGCTTCCGCTACACTTCAAAGTGAATCTTAAGTGATTAAATGCGAAAAATAATAGAGAGTGAAGAATATATGGAATGCCAACTTCATATTTCTGTTACGTGTAACTATCGATTATGTTGTGATGGTTAAAGCGGGATGCTAACTTCATGTAAAGATACGTGATTTAGCCTGTTGTGTAACACGAGAGTTGGAGATAATACATGCCGCGTCGATCGATAGTCGATTCGGTAAAAGCGGCACACTCTGTATAAAATCAATTGTCCTTGGCTCTT